ATTTATCAAATTAAATTTGTACTGTAAAGCTTCTTATCCCCTTCTTTATTGTATTGATATATAACAAAAAAATTAACAGTTTCTTGGTAATTTAAGGGGCAAATTTTCTTTTCTTTTAATTTTATGAATTTAATCGCGAACTCGAAAATTTCTTAATGCTTTGAAAACTTATTAACTTCCTGTTAAGTAACTTAATATAGAGTTTTCAAATTTTATATGAGTGATAAAATGTAAAATGTAAATGTAACTTTTGAAATTGCATTGCATAAAAATTCATCTGACTAGGTTTGTATACTTTCTTACATCTTATAAAGGTTTAAGTTCCAAAAAATTATGTCATCAGCAACAATCAAATTAACCAAAAATGAATAAATATATAATGCAAATTACTGAATTAGATTTCAGAATTTAACGTTGAAGTAACGCTTTTATTAATTAAAAAATATTTGGAAAGAGATTTTTTTAGGGTTAATTTAACTTAAAATATCAGTTTCATTTCAATGCTTCCCGTTTGCAATTCTATGATTATTTTTTTTTGAAAAGGTGAACATCCAGTTATTTTTTATCATTTGAAATTAAGTGAAGATATAACCGTGTTACATGTATCTGGGACATTTTGGACACGATATATATATATACATGTATATATATATACTATAGTTGTATAGATTGGTCACTTGCTACACATTTACATGTGATATAAATAAAGCCGTTCGCTGATTTGACATCGTCGGTAACCAACAAATGATACATTTAGTTTCTTTCAATGATCACAATTTTTTTCCGATGACAACATTGTTTAAAATACAATGTCACAGTTTTCGCAATACGGAATACTGTGTTGACTGATCAATTTTGTTCGATGTACTCCGACCCACATTTGTCAAAATGGGTAGGTAGCTTTGTTGGGTGATTTACACTGCTAAAAAATTGATAACTGGCATAAAAATCACAGATTTCTTAACAGTACACATTTGATAGCTACACAAGTTTATTGTTATAAAAAAATCAGTCAAAAACATCCTGTTGAAATTATACATCTTTGCTTTGAAATGAAACAATGTTTGTAAATTTAAAAAAGAAAAATAAAAGTGTAAAGTGATGAAAAAACTTTTGGGTAGGTGAAATTCTGATGGGTCGTCAGAGTTCATGAAACAAATAAATTGTTATATTGTTGGCCTGAACATTCAAATCATGTTTTTCAATGATGGGTTCGAATAAGTTAAACTTATTTATGTTTTCATGACCACTTCTAATACGATTCAAAGAAAAATGAAACTTGACATCATTAACACAAACGCATATTTTTTTAAGCATGTGTAGTGTGCTGGTACCAAAGGTTTCAGACTTTCATCTGTGAAGACCCACTTGCTAAACCCACCAATGGCCACCATCCACAGTAAAGACCATCATGTGGAGGAAATCTATAGGTGCCTAGTTATTAGTAAGTCAATTTTATTGCAGTCAAAATTCCTCATTGCCACTGGATGGCTATTAGTCAACACTCCCAGGTACATGAGTCGCCAGACTAGCGCAGTGGTTAAAGCTTCGATAGTCATGAAGTAAGGAGTTGATCCTTACATCGCAGGTTCCAATCTTACTATAGGACGTGGAGACCTGTCCTTCTGTCGAGACACTATAAAAATATCTTATCTTATATGATACTTATATTAACCAATTAAGGACCCTTGTCGCAGTAGGTGCTGGCATGAAAAAGATCCCTCACAGCTCAATAGCCGTAAGTGCCGAGCATAGAAAAAAAATTGCATCTGTCCATCGACAAGTGGTGGCGCCTCGATATGAGAGAGAACATCATGAGAGGAACATTTAATAACATACAAACAGGCCCATGTACATAAACACCTTGTCCCAGGGATTTTTCTCTGAAGAAACAGTTTTCAGTCCAACATGCCCTTTCTCTTAACAACCCTTACAATAGCATCTAAAAAACGATATTTAATGCATTTGATAAAATTAATGGCTAATTATTTTTTAAAATTTTTAATTGATTAACCATGATTGTTTAGTACAAGGCTGGCAATTTTGCAGCCATACGTGTAATATATTACTTCACCAAACCATTTTACTACAAGTATGACAAAATATTACATATATATAAATATGATATGCTTTACAATGACTTTTTAACAATATTATGAAAGGAAAGTTATATGAATGTGTCAATTGTAGATTTCTGTATAATCTTATCTGATTAAAATTACATATTTGAATAGAAGAGCTTTTTCAATTTTTTTTTTAAATTTGTTACAGTACAGAATACATTTAGAAACTGATCATGCCTTGGTCAAATCAAAGGAGTTCTCACGGTCTTTCAGAGAGATGGCAGAGAGATCATTCAACATGAAGATGATATGCACATAATGTAATCTGGAATATAAAGTTCGAGATAAAGACATGCAAACTTACTGGCAAATAAGCCTGTCTGCGTGTTAATTATTCTTTGTCGGATACTTCCCTTTTTAGGAATGCTCTTTATTTTTATCAATGATGCAAGTGGTAATTCAAGATTAGGTCATGTGATATAAGGAATTCTGACTTTTGACAGCATAAGTCAAGGGTTTGTGAGAAGAGGAAGAGTGGCAAGTACTAAAGAAATCCTTGGCTACTGAAATTCAGTAATTGTACGCCACATAAATTGGATGAGTGAAAGATTGTAGCAGAGGTTCTGTGCTTTTCCATATTTGCTGTTTTTTTCATATGCTTATAAAATTACAAAAGTTGTTTTAACAAGTGACCCAGTAAAGACTTGAAAGAAGGATATGGAAATAACGAACAGTATTTAATCTCAACGTCCATTAAACAAACATACAAAATAAGAGCAGAGCAAACACGGACCTCCGAAACATCAGAGGTGGGATCAGGTGCCATGGAGGAGTGAGCATCCCCTGCCGACCGGTCACACCCGCCGGTTGCTCGTTGTCATAATCAGGAAATAACGGAAAAAAATCCGTGGTCACTTCAGTGTATAAATAATGGACTAACAATTGGTATGAAAAACGTCAGTCAGCATTTCATTCAATGATAAATTGTATTTGCTGACAAGGTCATTGTATCGACCATAGAATTTACGAAATGATGACTTTAAACGAGACTGTTGATATTCTTGTTTCATCAACTTGCTTGTCAATAATTTACCTCGTTTAAGAAATTGTTCATACGTAGAGCATGCTCTAGTGTATCGAATCAACTGAGATATAAATACTCTGTATGCAGGTGATGAAGGTATATTGCTGCATACGTAAGGGAAGTTGACGATAGAAAAGTTAAAGTCATCACGTTTATCATATAGCTTGGTTGTTAGATTACCATTTGTGTCTTTTTCAAGTAAAATATCCAAGTATGAAGCAGAAGTGTCGGACTCTGTGGTATCTTTTATCTCAAGCTCACCAGGATATATCGTGTCGACGTAGGAATGGAAATTATCATTATTAATTGACAATACGTCGTCGATATATCTAAATGTCGAGTTGAAGGCCACAGCAAGTGTTTTTTTCTTTTCACGCAAAAGATTTTGCATAAATTCTGCTTCATATGAATATAAAAATAAGTCTGCTAATAACGGAGCGCAATTTGTACCCATGGGAATTCCAATAGATTGTTGGAATACCTGGACTCCAAAAACCACATAGATATTGTCAATCAGAAACTCAAGCATCTTCTTGATGTCAACTTCAGAGTACTTATGTGTGCAATCAGAATCTGTTTTAACAAAATAATTTTTCAAATGACCAATGACGAGGTAAGTAAACTTACGAGTTCCATTTTTGTTGAAGAAGCAGCTGTCAATGATATCAAAAAGCCTGGATTTTAATTTGTCGTGCGGAATTGTTGTGTATAAAGTTGAGAAGTCGTAAGTTTTTATGCTGTTGATTTTTGTAAAGTCTTGTGATTTCAAATTGTCCAAAAGTTCTTTAGAATTTTTAAGTATCCACATCTGATTTACACCACTTCTTGAATATATAGTTGTACAGTACTCTTGAAGTTTTTCCTTCACTACTGGTAATATTTTAGTGAGAAGTAACGAAAGAGGCTTGGTTGAACATTTACTGGAACCTGCAATGTATCTTTGTTTGTAAGGATTCTTATGAAGTTTCGGAATCCAATATATATAAGGTAGTTCAAATTCATTTTGGCTCTGTGGAATATCAAAACTGACAGGTGATTTTGAAGAATTTCTTCCTTAGAAAGAGTAGTATATGTATAAGTAGGATTACCACTTGTAGAATTAAATCCAAGTTCTTCTAAAATGCAATTTATATAATGAGCCTTACAAATGAAGACAATGTTGTTACCTGCTTTGTCGGGAGGAACCAGAACGTATTGATCGTGTAATCTATCTAATTCTTTTTTCACTTCTGGTTTATTGAACACAGAAGGATAGATGGTTTTCATTTTGCCCCTCAATCTTTTAATACGTGACTTTAACATGTAAAAATGTAAAATAATTCTTGTAAGAAAAAATGTAAAATAATTCTTGTAAGAAAAGAAAAATTGTAAATGTTTTCTTATACAATGTATTCTAGATGACGAAAAATATGTTTGACTTAGTTTTTGAAAATGACAAAATAAGAACTCCATTGTTTAATTAAAAATGATACTGGTTGCTATACATTTTTACCTTCATATGATTTTAACAGTATGTGTCACTAGGATTGAAATACTTAAGAACATATCTTACAAAGAATCAGGGGCATTAAGCATATATGAGCTGCCCAATATTTTTTAAACATTTTTATACCAGTGCTATGGTTAAGTTGGTTTATTTTTCATATAACGAGATGTCCAGTTTGATGTAAATAGCAATAAAATTTTCAACATTTGATTTTTAGCTGAGTTTTCACTATGTGAAGTTGTGTTATTTTTCCGGAATTGAGAAATTTCCATCAAATTCTCACATTCCAAACTAGATTTAGATATGGCCGCACGAAAACAACAGAATAAAAATTTAATAAATTGTTTAAAATGACATAATTAATTATATCCCAAAATATCATTCTGTTGTTTGCATGCGGCCACCCTGAAAAATATATAAAACGATGTTTTTTGAGGCCGATTTTGATCGCTTCCGGTTTCGGTATTTATATTCAGACGTAAACAAAGTTGGAGGAAACAGAAAATGTGACTGTAGATTTATCGAAGTTCTAACCATTTAACAGGTATGTATGATTAGAAAATCAGAGCAATTGTAATTTTACATGCACTACTTACATGCATTGTTCAAAATTAAATCCCTTCCTAAACTTATTAATGATAATAGATACGACATGACAGACCCCGCTATCTCCATGAACTCGGGGGGACGGTAATTATGTCAAACAGTTGAAAATAGAAAATATGTCTTTAAAATGTATTAAACAGGAACACAACATGTTATCTTCTTTCAAAGAAAAAATAGATTATAAAAAGTTGACAATCATCGATTCTCTTTGATTTAGGCCCGAATATTCATGATTCATGAACCCTCGATCGGCCGGTTGATCTGCATGATTAGCCGCGTTTTATCAGTTGTGAAAATCAGCCTACGGCATTAAAATATAAATATACTACATTTCTATGTTGGTGTTTATTACATATTTATCTGTCTGAGTACAAATACAACCGAGTTTAGCGTTTGTGTATTCAAGAGACCTTACCCTGGTACCTGTGTACTTTGTGTAAATGTATGGTGTGCTCTAACAGTCATGCAAAAATAAAAAAAAATGGTAAGAGTTTTTTTGTTTGGTTGTAAAACCGTTATTAAAAGAAATGAAAAAAAGTTAGTTTCTTAAAAATAAGCTAACATCACTAAATCTAATTAATGTTCTTTGCAGAATAAATAATAATTATAAATAAAATTCTTTTCTATTTTTCTTGTGGGAACAATATTTTTTGTTGTTTTTTAACCAATTAATTAAAGTATTATTAACGTAAAATTAAACTTTTGTAAGTATTAAAAAAAAATTAGAAAAATTAGATTACCATGGAATATTTTAAATTCATTTAAGTCACCATTAAAATGAAAAAAAATGTTTGTCATTACAAGCTTCATCTTTTTTGTTTTATTTTAAAGTACCCAATAATGTATTTGCCTCTGATTTTATGCATTAAACTCAAATAGGTTAATCAATAAAACTGCTATTTAAATTGATTTCATGAATGAAATAATTATATATTATACCTGGTAATATTAATAAATTATTCCCTTTTTTTCATATATAAAGAAAATCTTATGCAAATGTATATACACTGTACAAGTAACCCCCCCCCCCCCCCCTCCTTCCATAATTATAGACAAAATCTGCATACATAATATATATAGTAATTTAATTTTGATATTTAAATTTTAATTGTAGAATGCCTGGAGATGGTCCAAAACAATATTCTGTTACTGGAGCTGTTACTTGTTGGTATAGACCAATCCACACTTTTCAAAAGTTATGTCCCTTGGCCGCCATCTTAGGGGATAAACCTATACAATCCACACAGTAGCCTTTGTAGTTCTCACGTTTGGAACTTCGTCATTTGACTTTAAAAAAGCTCTGCCTTTTGTGACGTTTTGTCTACTGTTGCCCCAAGATGGGGCTACCCACACATTGAAAGGAAAAAAAAATTAACACTATGGATTTTTTACAGCACGCCCAAATATTTGGTAGCACAAAGAGGAGAAATGACGTTTCTTTCCCTTTTGACCTTTTGGTTGACCCCGCAAAGGGAAACAACTTTTGCAAAGTGTGGATTGGACTATTGTCAGTGTCGTGCCCATGTGGCCTCAGTATTGTGGTTTCTTGGCTATGAAAGACACACAAACTTTGCAGTAAGACCTACTCAAGACTGGGCTGACTACCTTGAGGATGCAGCTGTGCTTCCTGCAGTAATGGATGGCTCATCAGAAAGTGAAATGGGTGCAAAGGAAGAGTGACATGAATTGCGACATTGGTTTATTGAGAGTAAACATTATTGAGAGGGAACATTCTGCAGATTATAGGCGTCTCCATATGTGTTAAAATTCTCGAGAGGGACATTAAACAATAAACAATCAATCAATCTGCAGGTTATGATATCCACTGCATTAGACTCCCATTATTGTTTTCAACAATATAGTGGAAGGCTGTGAATATATTGTTATTTTTTAATTGTAAATAGGGATTTTTATGTATCCATGATTTTTCTTAATGTTTAAATTGTGATTTGTTAACATCTGTTATATCATCGAGAAATTAAAATATAGTACATTGTACATCCCAAAAACATATTAGATTCATTGCTTGAGTTTAACAAGTTCGGTTGTAAATATTGAAAGATTAATTATGTACCTTGACAAATGAAATGATTAATTAATATACTGATGTAAAATGCATAATGCATCACAAAATGTTTCTCAGATAATAGTAACAATTATAGTTTATTATGCAGTGTGTTAATTTGCATATTGAACTTTGTTAATAATTAACATGACTATATACTAGTATTTGTTATTTTTTGTAATACAATGTAATTACAAAACCTTTCCAGACAAACATGTACTAGTATAACTAATTCGTTGATGCTTAGTTCATTTTTATGACATTGTGAGGATGATAAACATTATCTTATTATGAGTAAATGTAGTGTATAAGGCATGAGTGGTGTGATGTTAAACTTCTATGATCTTTTTGGTAAAAGTATAGGTGGGTGATGGGAGTTCTGGCATTTGTTTTTGCAAACTGAAATCCCTTATTGTTATTTTTGTCAAGTTTAATGAATTGTTATTAAAAATGTTAGTTGAATACATTTCTTGTTTGTTCACTTTGTGCATTCAAAGTCTTTTTATGTTAAATACATAAAATAGTACTTGTCTTTGAAAAATTAACATTAAAGGTTATTTTTCCTCATTTATAGTTTCTGATAGAGTTAATAGGATTTTATTTGAAATATTTTTACCGTAAAGTACATATTGTGAGTGGAGTCCATTTAAAGTTATCTTAAGTTCCCAGATATCTCTGATTTTGAACATAAAAACAACTGTTTTACATTAAAATCCGTTTTTTACCACTATTAGCTAAAAAAAAATAGTTTCTATTCACATGTTTAAGATCATTTCTGTTGTATTTGTATTAAAAATCCATCTTCTATTTCTTTAATTATATTTACAGAAAAAAAAATATTAAAAATTTCCAGAAATCAGTGAAAATTGTGTTATTTTTGTTTTGACCCCAAATTGTCTTAATAGTGGTTTTTTCGTCAAAATATGACTGAAAAGGTGTGATTCAATCATAATTCTTTTAATATTTATCATATTTTGTCCATCATGGTTGGGGCATATTTAGGGTCTTAATGCCCCTGATTCTTTTGTTCCTGTCTACTTTAGTCAGAGATTTATTTTTTGAATGACAACCGAGATGTGAAAACAAACAAGCAAAGCAAAATAATTCAGACAGTTTTCTGATGTCTCTGTTGATTTTGTTGTTTACAGTTTTATATGTCAGTTATTGGACAATATGTTCATGATAATTGCAGCATTTTTAATTTTCAGCTTAGAAATAAGGCAACTGATTGGAGTGTCCCCCTTTGTGTGACCCGTACATAGCACGCAAATTTTAGCAAAACCAGATATTATACAAATGGACCAACCACATTCAACCCTCCTCGAAATGGTACTTACATTTGAGGACAAAGATTTCAGTTCTTTTCTCTTCTTTTAAGAACATATAAAGAAAGCCCTTTATATATAATTTCTCATGTGTATTTACGTAAACAGAGTTATTTTCTCGGGAGGATGAAAGATAGTTTCGTCATCCCATTTGATACTGCAATCTTCAAAACATAGACTTTTCCGGTGAACTGTCAAGGCTAGAACGTGACTGTCACTTATGGATGCACAGCGCACCAATTCCCCGAAATTCCCTTCGTTTAATTTTCGCTATATTTTTATATTTCATACATGACTATAAGTACTCTGTATATGCACATTTTGGACAAATTCGTAAGAGTGTTTTTTGGACAGGAAATTTCCAAGTTACACCCTTTAGTTGTTTACGAGAAGAGAAAATGTTAAAGGCAGTCGTGAGAGATTTTAAGCACCACCCTCAAAATAACCTGGTCTGGGTAGCCCTGTCAATCAATTGTATTAAGGTCCATCATTGAATGCTGAAACTTGATTGACATTTACTTCTTTTTCCCTGTGTATACCCAGTACACTTTGTATGGTACTCGTGGGGACCTTCAAATGAACTTTTGATCCTTTGGTGTTTACCAAACAGGGTATAGAGAAATTGCATCACAATGAAATTTTTTTCCAGTTAACACGTACCAGCGCTCTTTTCATTTAATAGACGGGATACTGGGGATGAATGAAATAAGTCTAATTTTGTTGTTGGTGGAGGATTTTTATAATTCACACATACATTAATATCAGTTTTTTAAAATTTTCTTTGTTGTAATATTTAAATTTATGGTATGATTTCATCATAATTGTTTTAAAAGTTTAGGAATGTTTTCAAACATTTAAAATAAATCAATATAGATTTATTGAGAAACATTTTACTTCTGATTTCAAATTGTCTTATAATCCCCAACACAGGTAAAGTTTGACACCTGGGTATTTCACTGTGTAATAAATCACTTCCTGTGTATAGGGCTTAGGAGACAGATGACCACAGGACACTGCTAGCCCCCAAGGCATTCGCATCTGTTCAAAATAAGCCCTTCCCTCAACTGGAATTTACCACCCGGTAAAAAAATCTCCGTCTTTAATGAATGAACTACTTAAACCTTGGTTTTCAAAAATGTCAGGTTAGCTACAGATGTCAAATTTCATTGCATTCATATGAATATCATAATAATAAAAAAAATACTATACACTGAAAACAACGAATTATCGAAGACTTGAAAATTTAGTATTTATCAATTTCCTTTTTTTTTGGGGGGGGGGACGTATCGTTTAATTTTAGTAAAAAAATGTAGCAGATGGTAGCTACAGTTATCTTCATAATTTGTGTATAAATTTTGTTCGACCGTGTATGATTTAATAGCGAACCCCTCTCCTTCCTGCCTGAGTATCGGAGTACCTCAATCGGAATGTTATAAAGCCAATTGTGCAAAACGAGAATTTAGACAACGAAGAACCTAGGCTTAAATAAACAAAAATGCTGCACTTTTATTTAGAACATAATTCAAGGGATTATAGAATTTTTACTGAGTTAAATCGTTTTAATAAATAAAAATATATGGATTGAGTATGATGCTCATAATCACAATCAAGTTCCATATGACATTTTTCTTTTATGATTCATACATCGTCTGACCTTAATGTAGAAAAAGGGATTTGATTAATTCGTATTCAAAAATCATTTTGAATGGCTCAAAAAATAAAAAATAACCAAATTTAAACTAGAAGTGTCCAATTGGGACAAATACCCCCGCTGGGTTTTTCAGAGAAGGTGCCAATTCAAAAATACTTTATGGATCTAGAGGTGTTCACAATTTACTTACAAAAATTTGCAGTGAAATACAATTGCTCATCATGTTTCTTAATGAATGAAACAAAGGTGCAACAAAATGAAACATCAAAACTAATACATTGTAATTCCATTGTAACATTTTGTTTTAATTTTTTCTTTAATTTTTTTTTATTACTGCATTAAAAAAATATATTGCAATTATGTGTTATGTCACTCTGCAAACTGATTGTTGAAAAAAAAAACCATTATACAAAATCAAATTAATCTTGATATATCAATTTGAAATGCATTTTGAAAATAAAGAGCTGGTCATCCAGTAATGAAGTGCTTTGACAGACAATAAATTACAATTAAGAGAATAAGAGAAGAGAGATCTTTAATTCTTGTGCCTTATTCCCTGGAGATAGATAACACACACACTTGATAAGAGATATGCCTTAACAACTTCCAACACCAAACTCATTAATTTATCTTTAACTGGATGCATGTCCAGTCATTATTCCCAAGAGACGAATGAAATTACATTATCTTCTGTGCAATGTAAAAACTGTTTTTAATACTTTATGATGTTTCTTTTTTAAAGTTTCTATGAGTAGTTATAAGCTGTAGTATTTTTGAACAGATATTCTACATTCTATATTTCAAACCTTATACATGTACCCAAAATGAACAAGTCAATTAAAATAAAAAATAAAACCTGTAAAATGCAAAAAAAATAACAAAAAGAGTTGAAAATTCCAGGTGCACACCTTCATATGGTGAATAATAAGTGTAAATTTTCAGATTAATCCTTGCAATAGTTTCTGAGAAACGGTCCAGACAAAACCACAAAATAAAAAAAAACACCTGTACAATTCAAAATAATAATCCAATCAAGATGAAAATATCAGGTCCACAACTTCATATGGTGAATAATATGTGTACAAATTTGCAGACAAATCCTACCAATAGTTTCTGAGTAATGGTCCGGACAAAATCTCGTCTACAGACAGACAGACAGACGGACAGACGGACATAGTGATTCCAATATACCCCCTCCCCCTAAACTTCGTTTGCAGGGGGTATAAAAATGCTTTACTGGCACTTAAAAAAACCAAATTATTAACAAATGTGACTTAATAATTTAAATCAATCAAATCTGTATAAAATATTATTACTAAAAACATAATTGTAGAGAAATATACCTTTTTCAAGAACTTAAACAAAATGTGTTTGTGAAACACTATGCGCCCGGCGGTAACAGAGGTAAAAAAGCTATTTTTAGCATATAAATTACAGTCCAGGTCACAAGATCATTGACCTTGAAGTCTTTTGAAAACACTTAATTAGTGAAATATGCATATCAAATATAAAGTCTCTACCTGCAATGGTTTAAAATTTATAGCCAAAGTTCGAAAAAACTATTTTTAGCAAAAAGGTCTAATTAAGGTCACAAGGTCATTGTCCTTCGTGTCAGGTGAAAGTGTTTAATTACTGGAGTATGCATCTTAAATATGAAGTCTCTATCTCTCACGGTTCCAAAGTTAAGGCGAAAGTTCAGAAAGCTATTTTAAGCATAAAGGTCACAGTTAAGGTCAAAAGGTCATTGACCTTGGGGTCAGTTGAAAGTGATTTATTAGCGAAGTATGCATATCAAATATAAAGTCTTTATCTCTCACGGTTAAAAAATTATGGCGAAGGTTAAAGTTGACAAGACACAGACAAACAGACAAAAGACAAACAGACAGACAAACACACAGACAGGACAAAAACAATATGCGCCACGAAAAAATTCGGACACATAAAAATGATAAAAAACATTGTTTCAGAGATTGCCCACGCTGTATACGCCTTTTTTTATTTTAAGATGTTTTATGTTTGAAAATAATGTGTATTATATAACTGCTACATTGTACATGTATCATTTTTTTAATCCAAATTTACAATGGAAATTAAGAAAAGTTATTTCCTACGGTTCATGTCAAACCTTTGACAATAAAAATTTACAGCCAACAAACATTTATATTGTACATCAGTTTGCAGGATTTTTTTTTTTTACCAATCTTAGTATCCCTACTAAACCCGTTCTGCTATGCAGAATGATACCTTTAATATAAACGTATAAGTACCCTTCGTTCTTGACATTAAAAGCATTTCTATAGGTTTACTATGGCAAAAGTTATGAAGTTCAATTCTGGAATTCAGTGACAAAAAGTAAACATATACAAAGAAAATTAATTTGTATCGATTACAGTAATTAATATCATCACAAATTGTGCTCATTCAGTTTTCAGTCAAAATATGTACGCATTAACATTTCCATAAGTTAAAAGTCGGCGAATTTCACTTACAACCTTCGTCCAAGTTATTTCAAATTCGATTGATTCGGAGAAAGAACTATTTATTCAGTTTCGTGGTGTATATTTCATTAGCTATTGTGTTGTAATTTAAAACTATTGTCTTATTGTTACTGCTCGATTAGTCCATAGATATTTGCTCTACAGCAGTTTCTAATTTTAAAACTCTTAAATTCAGGTCAGCTGTGATTGGTTTCAGTTCATACAATACATACCGAATCGCACTTATTAATTGTTTGTCATTATGAATATTGTCAGGGTTTCCCGAACAAATTAAATCACTTGACTTTAAATCCTGTAATCTCATATCACATAATATAAATTCGTTTACAAGATCTCGTGTATGTTGTAGTCGACTCAGAAGTTTTCCTAGTCCAAGGTCAAAATTAAAGGCAATTTTCACGAGAATAGATCCTCTATCTTCGATTTTGAAATTTTTCTTGATAATTTTAAGTTTTTGTCCAAGGCTTTTTGTTTCATCTGTTAAACATGTCCATGAATTAACTGATTTCATTTTTGTCAAAATTTCTTCAAAACTTTCTTCTTTCCTTTGTTGAAAAGCACTCTGCTTCTTTTCAAGATTTTGAATGAGTCCTTCTAAAACTAAATTTATCTCCATTTTATCATCTATCATAAGTTGAAAAGGATCTCGACAAGTGCAATCAGAAATTACATTTTCTAAGCTCTCAAAAGAAAGGAAAATTGATCTAAAAACTTCGTAAAGTTCCTGTGCTTTCTTAGCAATTAGTTTGTTTTGGTCATGTTTTCCATTGAGAACCCACACAACAGGAAATGATTCCCTAATCCAAACTCCCCATGAAGAAATCCACCAAAGAAAATCGTAAAATATTGTAAATATCATATTCACTGTATCCTTTGTAATATGGTCAAATTCAAATGTGAAACACTAAATGCCGAACTTAGACAACGTTTAAGTGTGCGTTACGGTATGGAGAGAAGGAGCTGATTGGAAGCAATAACTGATATCATAATATTTTAAATATAAACTAATAAGAACTGTCTTTCGATAACCATTGCAAGAGACGAAACATGTCATTTGTTGACGTCTTATATCCTGGAAATCAAACTAAACGTACATAAGGTAAGAAACGGGGATCGAGAATATGATTTCCATTAAGCACCAACACAACAGGCAACGGTTCCTTAATTCAATTTCTCCAGAAAGAAATACGCCCAATATTATGGTAAAAAGTGGTCAATATCATCTCTATGATGTGCTATGTTATACCGACAATTGCAATGAGAAGCACTAAATGCCGAACTAAGATTGAATGTCAGACAAAATTTAAGTGGGCGTTACGGTATTGAAAGAAGGACGTTGATTGGAAGCGTAAATCCTTATAAAAATATTCTCAATATTAACAAGTCAGTACAATATTTCGATAACCTGTGCAAAAGAAGAAACATGGCATTTGTTGACGTCCTATATCCCGGGAATCAAACTAAACGAACAAATTGTGTTAAAATTGCATCAACGATATGTTTTGCAATAGAAAGTGTTTTTGATACAACGAATGATCTCATCAAAATAATGGATAAGCGTTTGAGAATTCATTGTCAACCAGTATTTTTCAACACAGAAAAGACAGTTAAAGAAAATGTAACTGATTTGCAAAAGAAATTTGAAGAAATACAAACCAAACTAGATGAAGCATTACAGGAGCATAAGAAGATGGTTAATCCTAAGCTCTATGCAATGCTTGCAAATGATAAGATGGAGTTAAGCAAAATATATGAATATTTACAAACGGCTGGGAAAGTAGTTCATATTCTGGCAGATGCAGTAATACTTGTCAGAGCAGTGGTCAACACGTGCAAAATTATTTTGTTTGATTTTTTTCTCAGTCTAGGTACACTATGGTTTGGAACAATTGCTCTGGGTCTCCTTGTGTTAGGTGGAGATTTAATTTACAGTGCAATAATCGGGGCAAGAGAACAAAGGTATTTGGAAACTACAGAGGCAGAACTTAAATCGATTGCTGATAATGTTGTTCCAGCCAGCAGAGATTATATGAAAGAAATAGTTCGCATTGGAATAGAAATTGAAAATATTAAAGGTACCTCTGTCTTTCTCTCTATTTTCATGTCTCTTGCGTTCTTGATTTACTTAACACGTACGTTGGTAAAACTACGTACGTGAAAGTCTGTGTGATTCACATACCAATAATTCACAATAAACTATAAAATAGTCCTTTTATTTACATTTTACATGTTTGAAGCACCAAAATTATACTTCGTTATTGAATTTCTTGCTGTCCTATATCGTTTTAATTTTAATAACAACGCACATTTCTCTGAGTATATTTCTAAGCGTGAGGGTGGATAGCAACTATTAATATCGATAATATAGCAACTCATATCTGAAAGACTGTTAGATATTAAATAAAGCAATAAAATTGTATGAAGAAAAAACAAATGCGTTTCCTTACCGCTTAAAATAATTTGAAGCTATCCAACACACATGTACTTTTCACGGCGTCCTAAAGGAAACTGAAAAGTGGTGCTATCTGGACGATCGGGTTCGGACTTTTACCGAGCACGGTTTTCATTAGGCGTGTACTAAATGTTCCTATTTCCAAGAATTGCTTGCATCTGCCTCTCCTAATTTGGACATGTCGACAACTTTCCAAGGATAATGCAAGCGCAATAACTCTTACACGCAGAGCATTCCAATGTACATAAAATATATATATATATATATATACACATTTCAAATGATTGCTGCTGCTGGGGATCTGAAATATGATGCAACAATTTTTTTGTTTTATTGCAGGGTGAATGAAAATGGACAAGAAAGGATAAACGCTTCTCAATGTGTTATCTGTAATACGCTGGTTACATCTATATTCATCGAACATCAATTTTCACGGATTTCGTTGATGAGCAGATCCACGAAATAAATTGTTCACTAACTTTAGAAATATATTATTCATTTGTAAGGGAAATGCCTCGAAATAACATGTCCTTGAAATTTATTTTTTACAGGCGTAAAATCCGAATAAAATCTACATATTTAAAAAAAATATGTTATTATTCTATTATCATTTTGTCAAACTGGAAAGTTCGCCATTTGACTTTTCGTACACCGTTTTATTTAATACTTTTGACGGCCAAGGTCATCTACGCACGCCGATTTAGCCGGTTCCAAACGACTCACAAGGATTTGACCTGTTTTAAAATGAAGGTCGGGAGATGTACTCAGTTTTCAAGTGCAGACTCTTATATCAAATACATGTATGCATGTACTTATTTTTTTTGCATTTTAAAAAAGTCTGTTTATAAATTTTGTCTTCATCTCTAATGATGTCCATTATTATTTATAATTGAATTTCGAATTATTGAACTTTTTTTTTCAATTTTACAATATGCCATAAAGTGAAAAATATACATTTATTCTTCATCATTGAGTATTACCACATGGAATGTTTGTTTAAGACTCAATTTTTCGTTTACCACATTTTGCGCTAGTTGGTAAAACCAAGGGTTCACTTAAAGAAAGAAAATCAGGTCATTGATGAACGTCAATCAACAATGGGGACCAGCAGCTTTTTTACAAGAATTTTAATTCAGTTGATAAGTCTCTTTTGCAAATAATATTTAGAATTCTATAAAAGATTTACCATCATACAAACAGTGCATAACTTAGACAGCAATAACTTTTCCTACGGATGTAAAGACAATATCGATTATTAAAGTTACACTGTAAATGTGATAGGATTGTTTTACAACACAAAGGCGTAACTATAGGAATCGGTCTCACAATAAACGAAACATATGGAGATAATTGGTTGAAATTGGTCCAGTGGTTCTAAAGAAGTTAAGAATGCAAAACGTTTGCAGACAAACAGATGAACGACAGACAAAATGTGGTTAAAAAACAAGAAAAATTAAAGCTCAAATGAGCTAAAAACGTATTTTTCAAACATATTTGGAAAGGGTTACAATTTCTGAAAAGGTTTTTTCATGCGTTTCTTTTTTAACGTCTGAATATATATGACAAGTATCGATGTTGATAAAATTGCACCATGTTTATTACATTTTGCGTTGTTATTACATTTCGCGTTGTAACAAGGCATACTTCTTTAGTAAAAATGCCTTCTATAAATCACGTTGGAAGAAATTTTACACGTAAAATTTTTAATAGAAGAGCAACAAAGATGGTCTGCAAACCTTCTGTCCACCTGTCCTCGAATAATGAAACAATTTTTTTTCTTCAATTCAGTTGAATTTTCCTTCAATTCACCTCATATGAAAGACACGCAATTGAATATAACTTGCCAACATCAAAGTTTTAAAGAGATGTTATAATTTCTAAATAAGAGACAAAATTCAAATTTTTAGTTATCTAAGTGAGAAAATTCCTAATTGTAAAATAAACCAAAAGAAGAAAAAACAACAAAACAAACAAAGCACAAAAAATTATAATTAAACAAGCACACTTTTAAATTAACAAAAGCAAAACATTTCACTGAAGTCTCCATCTGTTTAGAAGAAATGTCGTAGGTCGAATTATTGTAATACTGAGGTAATACCTAAACCCATTCAAATGTAATCTAATGAATATTTCCGAAAAAAGTTGAATGAAATGCTAAAATAAAAACCAAGTCACACATTTTATGATGAATTTCAATCTGGTAGCCATGCATCTTTTTTTAAGAAAGATGCAATTTAACAAATGAGTGAGAGAATAGGGAAAAAACCCATCAAGGGAAAACAGAAATGCTATTCAAAACTTTGAAAGAAAAGCAATTTTACCTGTACATTTTTGCAGTGTTTCATTCCATATAGTCTCTGTACAACATCCATGGTTTCTAAATGACATAATTATGATAGAAAATAATATGCTACATTTATTTTTGAAAATATAAAAGATTTAAGTCTGTAAATGAAAACAGCTATCTGTGTACCTGTTATCACATGGTCCTTTTTGTGAAAGAACGAGAAGAGAATTTATTAGTAAAAAGGAAAAATTAACATACATAAACAACTCCATCTTACATATGTAATAGAGTGAATCGTTTTGAGGATATTGTCAAGCAATCAGTCTATGAATTGAAAGCGGACATTTCCTTCCTTATTCAAAATCCCTAGAACAACCACGGCTTATGGAATAGACAAGCCATTAACTTTTTGGAGAGACAACAATCGTGACAGAGCCTTTATACTTTACTTGAGGCTGTTGTTATCTAAATAACTGTAGCTACAAAGTAACAAACAAAAAAAATTGACACAAGTTACACAGTTAAAAAGAGAAAAAAAAAAGTCGCCATAATGTGTCTCAGGTCGATCAGTGCTTTGTCTATAACCAGCTACATTAGATTTAACTAGCAAGGTTTTAAAATGCATTGATAAGTTTTATTGTTGTTTATTATGCAAAAAGCTAATAGTTGCAAACTATTTCATTTTCAGATATAATGAGAAATACATAAAAAGTCATGTTTTTGTGTGACGTCACAGTAAACTTTTCCTGTATAAATTAGGCTCCGCCCCCTATTCAATCCTTAACATTGCTGCGTACAATTTTCTTTTTCAAACGAATATATCCGAGAATCTTTAAAGAACATTTTGGATTTGAACATCCGTGCATTGATAAAATAATGCATACTGAATTTATATATCTTAGTAAATTAATTATGAAAGATCATGCTCTGCGTACAAACAATTTCTAAAAAGATACAAATTATTGACAAAAAAGTTGATGATACAAAACATTTTCAGATCGTAAGTACTATGTTCAATGCATCAATGCAATAACTGTCAGCAAGTACATTATATCATTGAGTCCAATATTGACTGACTTCTTTTTTATACTTATTGTAAGTCCATTATCTTAACACTGAATTAATGAAGGATACTTCCGTTAATTACCGACCATGGCAGGTAATACGCAGCGGATATGACTGGGCAGCAGGGAATGCTCACACCCTCATGGCATCTGATCCCACCTCTAGTGTTTCAAAGGTTAGTGATTGATCTGCTCCTTGTTTTGCATTATTTGATTTTTTTTATCTTGAATACTATTTCGTTTCACCATATGTATTATGTTTGCCATTTTCCAAGTATTTCACTTGAGTTATCAATATCGTGAACAACTTAAAGTTATTTAAACGAGTTTGTTTGTTAATTTTTTTATATTCAGCATTTATCAATCTATTTTTTACAGTTTTAAATAAATGCACTCACAACCATAGCGATAATTGGAAAATCGTATGGAATATTACGCTTAGTATGTGATGGGTGACATGAATAGAAATCCAAATATTGGTGCGAATCTGTTTCTTTGCAGTACAGGTCTGTAATAATTTTGGTATCATCCTTAATTAGAAGGAGGTCCAAAAATGGGAGTTGTCTGTCACTCATCTCCATAGTGAACTGAATTGATTCCTGTAATTGATTTATTACCGTATGGAATTTTTCTAAATCGTCTTCAGTTTTATTCCAAAAAATAAAAATATCATCAAGGTACCTTTTCCAGTTTTGGCCAATATTTGGATTTCTATTCATGTCACCCATCACATACTAAGCGTAATATTCCATACAACATGGCAAGACGCATATGCACAATAGTAACCGATACAACTTTACGCTCGAAAAGGTTAGAAGAATTTAAATCATATCTCCAAAAACAACATTATCCGGAGAATCTTATCAATGCCGGAATTGAAAAAGCAAAAAACATTCCGACTTCTGTACTAAGAAACACTCGCCGCAAGGATGATAGTGAAAAAAGCGACATCCCTTTTGTTGTGACGCACAATCCACGCAACCACAATATTTTAAGATCAGCCAGGAGATTTTTTCCCATTTTAGAACAATCTCAGAATCTAAAAGACATTATCAAGGAGTCTCAAATTATCAATAGCAGAAGACAGGCACCCAATCTGAAGAAAATCCTAACCAGAGCAAGATTTGCAACAAACAATGCCAAAGTCGTCAGAAAGTGCCGTGACCCACGTTGTGGAACATGTGAATATCTGGAGGAGGGAAGCGAAAAAACTTTAAAATGTGGTAAAAAATTAACACCAAATGCCAACATGACCTGTAAATCAGAAAATGTTATTTACTGCATAACCTGTCCAACCTGTGATGAAAACTACATAGGACAAACCGGCAAACTGAATGCACGAGTGCGAGTCCACAAACAACAAATTCGGGATCCTAGCGTAAGGAATACGCCGTGCAGTGAGCACTTTGCTACCTGTGGGAAAGGGAAATTTAAATTATTTCCATTTTATAAAATGCACAATGACTGTGAAATATCCAGAGTAGCAAAGGAGGACTACTTCATTAAACTATTTAACCCAAAACTTAACAGAAAATAATTACTTCAGTTTTAACTTAAGTTATTTTCTACATGTTTTTTGGTTTATTTCACTGATTGTAACGGTGCGAATTATAATGCTACCTTTTAACGTTATTATGACGTCACAATGGACAATACCTGACGTCGTGCTTATGAACGTTACTAAGCAATTTTACATTCAACTTTTAACTGTCTGAAGAGCCATTAGGCAGAAAGCGCTAACAGTAAAAATGATTTTCGGGTCTTGTGATTCTTGACTTTTTTTCATTGGATATATTTATATATATATATATATATATATATATGTATATTCCATGTCATGTTATATATATATATATATATAAACTTTGAACAGTTTAGCATAGTTTATTGTATTTTATATACATGTATGTTTATTTCTCATATGTTCAACATATACGCTTTTGCTTGTTTCCCGAATATTCATTGTGACGTCATTGTATTGTTGACAACGTCATTACCATAACATTTTAACGTCAAATGTTCAAAGTAAAACGTCTGAAGAATTTGAATGAAAGCGCTAACGTTTTACAACTTGTGTTGTCGTTTTTTTCTTTTTTAAATATATATATATATATATATATATATATATATATATATACATATATATATATATATATATATATATATATATATATATATATATATATATATATATATATATATATATATACCAAAAAACTTATAAAATAAATCCACACACGTATTGTTATAATAAAAAAATCACAACACCGAAATAAACTCAACCGGTTTCATTTCCAATCTTCAGGAGTTTGACAATACAATGCTTAGTTACACAAAATCGACATTCATATTGTGACGTCATAAAGCGCCAATACTTAGTCGCGCTTTAGCAAAGTTCATTATGACGTCATGATAATACGTAAGTTAGTTATTACGGGAAATTAGATTTTTTATACAAATAGCATAGTTATATTATGCGGGTAAAAGTATATTACTTAAAATGAAATATAATTATGCTGCATTTAAAACAGGTTTATGTCTGTTTATAAAATGTTTTTCTTTAGTTTCACGTTCTTTTTCTGTAGTATCCCTTCGGACTTTGTAAAAAGGAAAAACAGTGAAATTGGGGGTTTTATTTTTAGCACAGTTTCTGATGTGTTCGCTTACGGCGGTACACTGGTATCTTGGTTCCCTAATTTGTTGTCGGTGTACGGTCATTCTGTGTCTCAGGGTGTCTCCTGTCTGGCCGATATAATTTTCACCACAACCGGCGCAGGTTATTACATAAATAAGATTCGAGCTGGTGCATGACATTGATGTTTTAATGGTAAATTCGCTTCCAGTTTTAAATTGAAATTTGGATCCCTCTGTCAGGTATGGGCAAGTACTGCATTTGGGCTTGTTGCATCTATTGATGATTGCTGGTTCATTGTTGTTAGTAGAAAAGGATGCTTTTGTAAGGATGGATTTAAGAGACGGACTTTGTCGTTTACTCTTAATGATCTTTGAAGTTTCTAATATTTTCTTCATGTCTGGATCGTCCTCTAAAATGGGCAGATTGTTCCTAATAATGTTGAAAATTTCCGGATTTCTTGGGTTATGTGTTGACACGTATGGTATGACATTTTTTGCCTATTTATTTTTCACTGTAAGTAGATTTTTTCTTTCTTGAGATTTGGCTTTGTTTATTCCGTATTCAATCAATTGTTTAGGATAGTGCCTTTGAAGGAGTAGTTCTTGTAGTTCTGTGAGACGAGATTCCAAGATTTCTGCATCGGAAATTATTGTACAAAGACGTTTGGCTAAATTGTATGGGATATTATTCCTGGTGTGTCTAGGGTGACAAGAGTCAAATATTAGGTATTGTTTGGTATCTGTTATTTTGTAGAAAACATCCGTTATTAAACGGTTTTCTTTTTTAATAACCATTACATCGAGAAAGGATAACTTATTACTATCCGATTCCATGGTAAATTTCAATGTAGGGCTCAGGGTATTGAGAATATTAAAAAATTCCATAGTTGATCATCACTTTTGTCCCATATGACGAAACAGTCATCTAAGTAGCGTATCCACGACTTCCTTATAAAATTTTCAAAGTCCTGCCCGAATTTTTCTTTCACGGTTAAATACAGTTTTTCTTCTAGGAATCCTAGGACAAGTGTAGCATAAGTTGGCGCAACTTTGGTTCCCATTGCCGTGCCTAATTTTTGTCTGTAGACTATGTCATTAAAATGCATGAAATTATTTTCCAAGATTAATTGAAGGCTTTCTAAAACAAAGTTTTTCGGAAATCTGTCATTCAAAAGACTAGGAAATCTGTCTATCCAATGTTCTATTGCAATGAGTCCAAGATCATGTGGAATGTTAGAAAAGAGATTGGTGACATCAAATGAAACCAAAATGGATTCAGGGTTGACTTTCTCAGGAATTGTATTAAGGGAATCTACTGTGTCTCGTATATAACTTTGAACTTTGGTAACATACGGTTTCAATAATATATCCAATAGATTACTTATCCTGTGAGTTTCACATGTTGGTCCCGCAACTATGGGTCTAATTGTGAGCTCAGCTGGACTTGCAACACTTATGTATGTTGATCTGGAAATTTTACATTCATCTTTAATTGTCTGGCTTTTATGTATCTTTGGCAAACCATAAAAGTTACTGGTTTTAATGTTAAATGACAAAAGATATGCGGTTTCCTTGGCAGTAAGTTTTTGTCCGTATTCATCTATGATAGTCTCGAGTTTTTCCATGACCTTCTTACTTTCGTATGTAAGTTGTTTTTCATAGTATGAACTATTTTCTAACACAGAAAGACACATTGATTTATAATATTCGCGATCCATTATTACTACAGCGCTCCCTTTATCCGCTTCCTTAATGATAATGTTTTCATCATGTCTTATATTTTCAATCGCATTCCATTCTAATTTGTTCAAGTTATTTCTGGTAGTATTATTTCTGACGCATTGTTCGACAGGAAAGGTTCCTACCTTTAGGTGGCATAAAATCACTTTTATTGGCTACGATAGATTCGTCATCATTTTCTATATCTAAGAAAAATTCAGCAAGTCGTAATCTTCTACAAAATGCGTCTGTATCATTTGTAATTTCCTCTCTGTTTTTAGAGCGTGGCGTAGGGGTAAATTTTAATCCCTTCTCGAGAATTTTAATTTCAATATCCGTAAACATTCGACTAAATAAATTAATTACTTTTGGTTCGTGTTTTTTGTTCTGTCCTTTGTTTTGCGCTACGTTATTTTGTTTTGTCTGGGGCCATATCCTAAAAAAGAATTTCCCGGCGTTGTATAATTTTTTCTTTGTTTCCCGTGTTGCTTGTATGGTCGTTCGTGATAGGGAATCACTGGGCGTCCTTGGTTTCCGTTGTATGTCCTGGGATTACTGTTTGACGGGTAATTGAAATTGTTTGAGTTGGAATCTGTTGTAGATCGGTAATTCCTTGATTCAGGTCCACGTTGTTTTTTTGGGATTGGTATTTCCTGATTTCATAAATGGATTTTTATCTTGATGTTCCTGTTGAATAAACATTCATCTTCCAACATGCGCTTTAATATGTTTAAAGCTGATTTGGGTATCTTATTTCCCAAGAATGTAAGGACTTGGTTGTCAATGGATTGATATTTGTCCTCCTTATACTTTGCCCGCATCTGTAGTAGATCTATTTCTGCTTTGAATTGTTCTAAGACTAACCTTTCTCGTCTTACTCTCTGGTTTTCTGGCTCTCCTTTTATTGTCGGAATTTGTAATTTCCGGGGTAAGGTCTTGGGTCCGGAACTCAGCCAGGTGTCGTAGATTTTCGCCTTTTCCACGTTTTTCATCATATTCCAAAAGGCTATCCTTCGGAATTTTAATTGCTCATTCCAGAATTGAATGTGCCGCTGTTTCTCCGAAATTGCCTTAATTTCGTCAGGATCCTTTTCAGGGGTTGTATCCGTAGGTAGGATGTTATCATTGGAATCTGTGCTCTTTCTCAATGACATAGCTGTCCTCGGATGCGGCTCGCATTGTTGAATGATATTTGATGACTTGAAATTTTCCATGAAATCCTTAATATCTGATGTATCACTTTGGATTTTTTCAAGTTTATCATTTTGGTTTTCACTTACTTCAATTTTCAGTTTGATTTCCCGCAGATCATTTGTAAGTGAATCAAGTTTTTCTGTAATCATCTTGAGACTGTCTTTTGTAAATTGTACAAAATCCTCTTCCATCGTGTAACTTTTCAGCATTTTTTCTTTCGGCATCTTGTGTAGTGGTAAATAATACCACTTATACGAGCCTGTCTCGGATAAGTGAGTTTATTTCAGTAACCCTATGTCCTTCCATTCCGGATATCTTAACCCCTACAGATATATAATTATATGTACCTTTAGTCCCAACCAATAAATCCGGAAAATTTAGGTCCATTTACATGTACTAGTCTAATACTTAGTTGTTACCTCCTCTTCCTTTCTTGATAAATCGATAAAACGGTAAGGTCATGGAAAATTTTGTGAAGTTGAATTTTTGCAATATTTTAATTTTCGTAATGAAATAAGTTTAATTTTATGAGTAACTATCATGGTTTATGATTTCTAGCCAAGTTAGACGTGCCGATGGTGTAATTTTACTTTGGATTTTGCAAGATATTTTTTGTCAAGATCAAACGTCGGCTAATTGGTTTAATTTACACTATATGGTATAATTTGAATGAAAGATAACAGCAATATGAAAAATATGGAAGTCAAGGGATGGTTTAACTTAAGTAATTATTTTTTAGGAGTAAAATGTAATTAATTTCCGATTCGCTTATGGGTTGGGGGGGGGGGGTCAAGCGCAGAAATATGAAGTCAGGCATACTAATCCGTTTTAAGCTTTGTTTTCGAATGTTATGAAGCCTGTAGAAGGTACTTAGTACTTGCACATTTTGCCAAAATTTAATAGTCTTTAAATGTCCTTGACTATTCAATTGAACATTCACGAGAATTGCGTCACTTTCACTTCTGCAGTAATCAAAGTACTGAAAGTACCGAAAGGATGTTGGTTAATATCATCATTGTTATGAGTCATTTGCAGTTTGGTATCGTTTCATTTATTTGCTGGTCTATGGGAACATCTTAAGAAAATGCATAAAGGCATAAACAGATAATATTTTGCCGAAAAATAAAAGGGCATAGTTTTATATGAACTGATTTTTCTCTTAATTTTTTTTAGGGGGGGGGGAGTACCTCAAAATGAGGATACTCAATGGTTAACCAGGGAAATTGTTGTTGTCCACCTGGTCAACAGCTATAAAAAATACAATTTTAAGTCTTTTAGAGTGAGCTTTTTGCCTCAGGGTAACTAAGGTTCTACATATTGTAGACAAGAAAGATGTAGAATTTGGCTTCATAAACCGTAGCATAAAGCAGCAATAATCAATCATTCATATGCCTTAGAATAGATATGCTGGGTTCAGCCACAAACAAGGAACAAATTATATTAGTACAAGGCGTAAAAGTCACACAAGGGTGAGAAGCTGTTACTTTTATCTCAGCATGTCTCGAGATTCTACTGGTCCTTTAAAAATGAAATTAAACTTCACAAATTGATAAGAAAATAAATCATTCTGCTCAGATTGAGTTTTCAATAACTTGATAGGATTGACTGGAATGCAAATTAAAGCTTGTAAATTAGCATTTAAGTAAAAATATTAATAATTTCAATCTCTAATGGGACTAAATTCTCTACCCTTAAATGTCATAATACTCTGACATATTAAAGCATTTTATAGTCAAGCAAGCATTGCCCAGAAGAAACAAAATTGAGTAACTTAGCAGTACTTAATTAACAAAAATGCATTGGGGGGAAGTGATCTTTAAACAAATAAAAATGAAAATAATAAATAAATAAATAAATAAATAAATAAATAAATAAATAAATAAATAAATAAATAAAAAATTAAATTAAATTAAATTAAATATTTTAAATTAATTCTTTTAATTAATTTAAATGAAGGGAAAGTATTCTTACCAAAATATAAGGTCATAAATTAGGACACATTCCATCCTTACATGCTAAGCCTAATGGTAATAAATGAGAGTTATATCAAAATAAATTGAGTATTTAACAGTCAGCGGTTTTTTCCCTTATATAACTGGTACCGATAAACGGCACCGTTCCCAATGCCAAAAAACGTTAATTTTTCCCAATTCTATGACAAAAATTTCCCAATTCAACTGTGAAGCAAAAGATTACTATGAAATCGTATTTCTTGTTAAATTAAACATTGTACAAGTTGACTAATTGTTTCACTTCCGCTTAAATCGTAAGTAGAGAAAGTCGTAATTTGGCGGGAGCAGTGGTTTAGACAGCGTAGTGTCATATATTTTGACAAATTGAAACCATGACAATGTGAAAACAAGGGACGTTGATATAGAAACAATAAGTACTTGTTGTTTATTCTTTAAAACAAGCAGTTATAGGTAATTAAGTAGGAATAAACGCAAAATAAGTCACATATGCATTAATAAGAGAAAATTCTCCTTTGTTTAACTTCGATGTTATTTTTCCCAATTGAACCGGTACCGGACTCTTTCCCAATGGGTGGAAAAAAATCGCTGCAGTGTAACAGTAACACATTTTTAATGTATTCAATGTTACAGACCTACAGCATACTCCAGACTCTATATTCTCAGATATTTAACTAATTTCATCATTCAAAATTGTTGTACATTGACCAATCCATTTTCATTTACATATAGGTACGTCCATTGCCCACCAACTTATCTGAACTATTTTGCATGTGTGACTGATCGTATAAGAAGCATTGTTTAAGGAAGTTCTCAAGTAACATAAACCAATGAAAAAGCCATAAAAGACATATGTGCTTGCTTATTGTCATACATTACAACCTGTTTCAGAGTACATAACCCTCAAAATTCAATTGCCAAAATTTAATGCAGAATATTTTATATTGTAGTTTTGCACCAATACACAAAATCAACAGATTGATCTTGAGTCTGCATCACAAAATACCTTAATTTTATAATCATAATAACTCTCAAATGATGTTATTATGCCATTTTGTATTGGATAGGATAATATCTATGGTAACTAATTGATAAGGCATATTTTTTATCATGATTGATCAAAATAAATTTTTACATAGCAGTCTTTGGGACAGGTATACCCCAATTTTAGTAATATCAAGTTTACCAAAATTATTGGCAAAATTTTAAAAATAAAATGCAAAGAATAATGCTCTCTTGAAATGGAGTATACATCTAAAGTAAATTTGTACAAAATAAAAACAATTCCTTTTTAGTGTTAAGGCAACTAAGAATTGGGTGTATCACTCTGTGTGTCAGCATACAATGACCTAGCTTAAGTTAATCAAACTTGCAGATGACAAATATTAATTTTCGCATGAATATAACGATATACCAAATTTCATATGCTCAACAATCTCAAGTAAACATAACAAAGGCATGTATAAAATAATTTAAACCGGATTCGTATAAGTTTTTTATACTTTTTATACTTTTTCCTTAATTACCAAATATGCATTTCAAGGTTTAAAGTTGAGGAAGTAAACTTGATATAAATTACTATTACCATCATTTCTGAGAGGAAACTATTCTCTTCGAACAATATTTTTTGGTCAACATTCTTAAAATTCTTGTTTTTTGTTTTAACTGAGTTAAATTGCCCGGTTGACAAGATGCAATATAAATCTAAAATATACGGTCCCTTTAACCTTTTTAACAGAAATTGCGGGCGGGGTTAGACAGTATTGGATAGTTTATAAATATATTTGTCATTTTTGTAGGATAAATATTAAATCTTTCTCACTTCAATTACTGAAGCAAATACTACACATTAGAATGCTACAGGGAGGACAAGGTTATTATAATTTGGAAAATTTCTGCTTTTCAAAAGCATATTGTTTAAACATTAATAAATGCAGTGAATCCCATTTAATCCAATAGTAAGTTTGTCAGCCTTCTGGTATCAGAATAGCCGAATATTAGGATAGTGGGTTGCTCCATTTCGAGTCCAAATATTAGGCCTACCATGTGTTCACCTATTTTTACACTCTTTACTTGTCTTCTATTTTTTCCCTATTACTAATCGATAGTTGGTTCATAAATTGTGAAGTACTAAAGAAGGGTCTTAAGTTATATAGATAGGTATATAAAGGGATCTGTTTGGGGTGGGGTGGGGGGGTATTAAGACACATTGTTATTGTTAAAAGTTGTTAAAAGAAGCTTAGTACCTTAAGCGAAGAGGTGAAACCATGACAGTATCTTGTCCTGTTCCAATTTTGGTTTGTTTCAGTACAAAATCCTTTAAGACAACTATAAGCAACACTTGCAAAGATAGTTATATTTTTCTAAGTATAGAACTTTGTCACTCAAGGAAACTTGGTAAGAGGTGTTTTAATGATTTAAAAGCCATAAAAGAGTTACAGCCTTTTAGGTAATTTATACAAGTAACCAATGGAAAAATACAGTGGAGGTAAGTATCAACAATGTTAGAGGAAATAGTAGTTGTTTTATACGGACAAGTCATTGGCTCCTTTTGTAAAACTTGTGTAATCACTTATTCTGTAAATTTTTATTGATGAATGAGCAGGCCCTGGTCGACGGTGACCATTTGCGTTGAGGTACTGCCGCCGTCACCATGGTTCTTGGCACCCCATTGGTGGCGGTTGCAGTTCCATGATTACTCGTAGTAGACACGAGTAGTCATGGCCCTTGCAAGTGGCGTATTCCGTCGCACCTCAACGCAATTGGACGAGTGCAACACATATTCTTACGCTCATTCCATTGTTTATTGACTTGATTGATATTTGAATTGATTGATTGATTAATAATTGATTGATTGACAAGTAATTGACTTGATTGATATTTGAATTGATTGATTGACTGATTGATTAATAATTGATTGATTGAATTTGATTGATTATTGCATTGGTGACGTTCTTGCACTTGTGACCTACCCAGTGCATGATCCGCCCGATTTGGGTCGTCACATTTGTTGTATTGATTGTTGATTGTGGGGCAGCCCTGTGGTAGCCCCAGCAAATTGATCACCGCGGCCACAAGCGCCATATTAAACAAGCAAAATAACATCCATATTGTTTGTTTGATTTATAGGGAATCTGAAATAATCCAAAAAACTTTAGTCTTAGTTAGTCTTAGAACAATTCAAAGCAGAAATAGATCTACTACAGATGTGGGCAAAGTATAATGAGGACAAATATCAATCCATTGACAACCAAGTCCTTACCCCAGGTACATTCTTGGGAAATAAGATACCCAAATCAGCTTTAAACATATTAAAGCGCATGTGGGAAGATGAATGTTTATTAGAAGAACAAAAATCAATACAACGATGGATAAAATCAGAAGCATGGTTCCAAAAATATGCGGCACAATTTCAACAGGAACATCAAGATAAAAATCCATTTATGAAATCAGGAAATACCAATCCCAAAAAACAAAGTGGACCTGAATCAAGGAATTACCGATCTACAACAGATTCCAACTCAAACAATTTCAATTACCCGTCAAACAGTAATCCCAGGACATACAACGGAAACCAAGGACGCCCAGTGATTCCCTATCACGAACGACCATACAAGCAACACGGGAAACAAAGAAAAAATTATACAACGCCGGGAAATTCTTTTTTAGGATATGGCCCCAGACAAAACAAAATAACGTAGCGCAAAACAAAGGACAGGACCAAAAACACGAACCAAAAGTAATTAATTTATTTAGTCGAATGTTTACGGATATTGAAATTAAAATTCTCGAGAAGGGATTAAAATTTACCCCTACGCCACGCTCTAAAAACAGAGAGGAAATTACAAATGATACAGACGCATTTTGTAGAAGATTACGACTTGCTGAATTTTTCTTAGATATAGAAAATGATGACGAATCTATCGTAGCCAATAAAAGTGATTTTATGCCACCTAAAGGTAGGAACCTTTCCTGTCGAACAATGCGTCAGAAATAATACTACCAGAAATAACTTGAACAAATTAGAATGGAATGCGATTGAAAATATAAGACATGATGAAAACATTATCATCAAGGAAGCGGATAAAGGGAGCGCTGTAGTAATAATGGATCGCGAATATTATAAATCAATGTGTCTTTCTGTGTTAGAAAATAGTTCATACTATGAAAAACAATTTACATACGAAAGTAAGAAGGTCATGGAAAAACTCGAGACTATCATAGATGAATACGGACAAAAACTTACTGCCAAGGAAACCGCATATCTTTTGTCATTTAACATTAAAACCAGTAACTTTTATGGTTTGCCAAAAATACATAAAAGCCAGACAATTAAAAATGAATGTAAAATTTCCAGATCAACATACATAAGTGTTGCAAGTCCAGCTGATCTCACAGTTAGACCCATAGTTGCGGGACCAACATGTGAAACTCACAGGATAAGTAATCTATTGGATATATTATTGAAACCGTATGTTACCAAAGTTCAAAGTTATATACGAGACACAGTAGATTTCCTTAATACAATTCCTGAGAAAGTCAACCCTGAATCCATTTTGGTTTCATTTGATGTCACCAATCTCTTTTCTAACATTCCACATGATCTTGGACTCATTGCAATAGAACATTGGATAGACAGATTTCCTAGTCTTTTGAATGACAGATTTCCGAAAAACTTTGTTTTAGAAAGCCTTCAATTAATCTTGGAAAATAATTTCATGCATTTTAATGACATAGTCTACAGACAAAAATTAGGCACGGCAATGGGAACCAAAGTTGCGCCAACTTATGCTACACTTGTCCTAGGATTCCTAGAAGAAAAACTGTATTTAACCGTGAAAGAAAAATTCGAGCAGGACTTTGAAAATTTTATTAGGAAGTCGTGGATACGCTACTTAGATGACTGTTTCGTCATGTGGGACAAAAGTGATGATCAACTAATGAAATTTTTTAATATTCTCAATACCCTGAGCCCTACATTGAAATTCACCATGGACTCGGATAGTAATAAGTTATCCTTTCTCGATGTAATGGTTATTAAAAAAGAAAACCGTTTAATAACGGATGTTTTCTACACAATAACAGATACCAAACAATACCTAATATTTGACTCTTGTCACCCTAGACACACCAGGAATAATATCCCATACAATTTAGCCAGACGTCTTTGTACAATAATTTCCGATGCAGCTCACAGAACTACAAGAACTACTCCTTCAAAGGCACTATCCTAAACAATTGATTGAATACGGAATAAACAAAGCCAAATCTCAAGAAAGAGAAGATCTACTTACAGTGAAAAATAAACAGGCAAAAAATGTCATACCATACGTGTCAACACATAACCCAAGAAATCCGGAAATTTTCAACATTATTAGGAACAATCTGCTCATTTTAGAGGACGATCCAGACATGAAGAAAATATTAGAAACTTCACAGATCATTAAGAGTAAACGACAAAGTCCGTCTCTTAAATCCATCCTTACAAAAGCATCCCTTTCTACTAACAACAATGAACCAGCAATCATCAATAGATGCAACAAGCCCAGATGCAGTACTTGCCCATACCTGACAGAGGGATCCAAATTTCAATTTAAAACTGGAAGCGAATTTACCATTAAAACATCAATGTCATGCACCAGCTCGAATCTTATTTATGTAATAACCTGCGCCGGTTGTGGTGAAAATTATATCGGCCAGACAGGAGACACCCTGAGACACAGAATGACCGTACATCGACAACAAATTAGGGAACCAAGATACCAGTGTACCGCCGTAAGCGAACACATCAGAAACTGTGCCAAAAATAAAACCCCCAATTTCACTGTTTTTCCTTTCTACAAATTCCGAAGGGATACTACAGAAAAAGAACGTGAAACTAAAGAAAAACATTTTATAAACAGACATAAACCTGTTTTAAATGCAGCATAATTATATTTCATTTAAGAAATATACTTTTACCCGCATAATATAACTATGCTATTTGTATAAAAAATCTAATTTCCCGTAATAACTAACTTACGTATTATCATGACGTCATAATGAACTTTGCTAAAGCGCGACTAAGTATTGGCGCTTTATGACGTCACAATATGAATGTTGATTTTGTGTAACTAAGCATTGTATTGTCAAACTCCTGAAGATTGGAAATGAAACCGGTTGAGTTTATTTCGGTGTTGTGATTTTTTTTTTATATATATATATATATATATATATATATATATATATATATATATATATATATATATATATATATATATATATACTTAAAAGAAAAAAGAAAACACGAAAAACTTCAGTAAAGCTTTAGGCCTTTCATTCTATCATCAGAAGCTTTACAAATAAACAACTGTATATATATTTGTATATATGTATATATATATACCCCGACTCTTTTACTGGCAACAATATTTACGTTTTAGCCGTCAGTTTTTCCTAATAATACTCCTTCCTTTTAAAATCTATTCTATTAAAAGAATGACAAATAATTTTTTTTTTCATGCAAATTCAAACGGATAAGAAACATTTCCAATTGATACGACAGGTAAGGTTTATTTACAGTTTAATTTGATTTCTCTCATAAAATGCATTTGGCTAAGGTAAGGCTGCCATTTAAATATCAAACTTTTCAAACTGTGGTAACTTCTCTGAACTACCTAGATCATTTGACCTAGATCTGACGGCAAATAGAAAATGACGTCAAGTCTGCGTACTTTAGCTGACATAACTTTTACACGTTATGTAATTGTTGTTAAATTCAAGTGTTTAAATATTTTTTTAAGCTCGACTGTGCTGTTTTGATGTTGAACATTTGAAATTTAAATGTCCTTTTACTTGTCCGTTATGCACATATTCAAACAATAACGAAAAATTATGTTTGAAACACTCCCCTTACACGTCCGTAGACAAAGTTAGAATTTATGAATCGTGTTTATATCGGACTAGGACAATTGATAAACAAGGACAAATTGAAGATATTTTATGCGAATCTACAAGAGAAGTTTGTCCTCTAACTGATTATTGCTGGGGGATTGTGTGTAACTTATCAATTTTTGTATAAATTGCGATAAAGAATGGAAACTACCACTTCTTATGTTGGTAAGTTTAAATCATCGTAAATATTTTCTAAATGAGTAAAAATTAAACCTGCCCCAAGTACTTTCTATGTACTAGCGATCACGATGAATTGATCTATGTAACAAACTTTTCACAATATTTATACTTTGCACTTGTGCCGGAACGATTTTTGTGAAAAATTAGGAATATCATAAATCTCCGTCACGTAATGAACACAGTCACGTTACATCACAAAAAATCTTTCAAATAAAACCCAAATAAACTATTAGTATTATCTTAAGTTTTCTGCAATTTCAAACAAGAATTAGGGTGAATTCACCATGCATCGGATACCCTTGTACTTCGACATGTTCTAGCGATATCGCTACCGACGGAAAATTATCAAAATGGAGCTCAACATTTAGTCTGTGATTAAAATATCAATTTAGGACACAATTATATGCCTTTTATTGAGAAAATATCCCCCAAAATCGAATTTTTAGGAATAACTGAGAATTCACCATGGATCGGACATTGTTCACCATGCATCGGACAGACGGTATGGAGACCGGAAAAAAAATCATACCTTTATCACAGTGCTTTAAAATCCTTGATATGGATATATTTTCATCTTTTATCTAAGAAATAACCCTCATCTAAAATTTAATTGACGATATAGTTGCACAAATGTAGAACGGATCAAGATACATCGCTCTGCCCCAAAAATGCTTTAAAATGCTTATAATGCGGCAATTCGCGCCTTTTTCTCATGGTTAATCATACTCTGGTTTGTAGAAATAAATTGAGTCAAATTCCAGACGTCATATATCAATAACTTGTATTTTGACTGAAAATATAGAGTCTTTATTTTCTTTTTCCGCAAAAAGCAGCTGTCAGCTGGGTTCTGTATGAAAATGGTAGTGCTAACCTTTGCATCGAAAAGTGTCCGATGCATGGTTAATTTGTGTCCGATGTACGGTGAAATTAGCATACTAGTAGAAACCAGCTCTAATAAGAATTAAACAAACATTGAACGTTGAAGTGAAATTTCTTTATAATTTATGTAAAATTACCAATCCCTGACAAAATTCCCCAAAGTCCGACTCGTTCCGTGGAAGTCGAATTTAAAAGAACGATAACTCTTAAAATTGCAAAATCATAATTTTCGGGTTATTCCCCTTTGATGATGTAAAATATGACGTAACTTCAAGGCCATTTGCGGGGTATTTTAATCACAACGTGACAAACAAAATCGGTATCATTAAAAAATTTAAATCTTCATCCTTATGACAGAAACAAATAAATACACAGAACTCTTAAGTTGAAAGAGAGTTTAGTGCCTAAATTTGTCCCAAGCAAGGTATGTGTCCGATGTATGGTGAATTCACCCTACATATATTTAAATGAAATTTAACTTGGGATAAAATGTATATTTTCAGTGCATTTAAAGCTTTCGGACAGTCTTATCATAACTGCATAACCTTCGGGCTCGGTGAATATTGTACTCACATGGGTAACTCATTGTATTGGCCCCAAAACAGCAATAATTGTTTAACATGTACCCGTTATCACATGGTCCTTTCTGGGAAACTACACTGCAAACATGAATGAATATAATTGTAAGGCAGAATCCAGAATCCATTTTGTAAGAGAACGATTTTCAGATACGATACATATATTTTATCCAGCTTTATATGACAAGTCTACTATCTCTTCGTGGTGTACATTTCCTTCCTTCATTCTAAACAAATAGATTGCAAATATTTTTTTTTCTCGATTTATTGAGCTACATGTATAGCCTATTACTGAAAAATTGTGTGTATCGTATCTATAGGCTCATAGAGGGGAGGGGGTTTTGTTTTGTTTTGTTTTGTTTTATGTTCGCCAGCAATTGCTGGTTTACAAATTCAGACCTGTACTTGACACTTACGGTCATTGAGCATCGAAGGATAGCTATCGGTGACAGGGGACCTGTGTTTTAACAGTCTTTTTCTTCTCCAGATAACTCAATCGAACCCACGATTTGCTCTAACCACTGCACTATGTGGACGTCCCACAGTTATATTTACATGTAGCTCTGCTTGTTTTATTTATAATCTATACAATATTTTTTTTTATATTTGTACGAGAACAAGAAAAGATGTAAAGGATAACAAATACAAACTTGAAGCATGCATGTAGTGTATCATTATCAAAAACATTTTTTTCCAAAAAAAAAAAAAAAAAACGTGAGATCATGGTGCAACAATAGAGAGATGGTTTAACTGTTTATAGCTTTGTTTTAATTTAAGAGTGGTATGCTACCAAAGGAAGAAGATGGAATAACTGGGGTCATATAATTCTACCCCGTTCCGTTAAATATATCATTAATTACAAATTTATGATCGTTATGTGAAACAAGTTTTGAAGATTGCAGTCTTTCAGAACTTTTTGTCATATGTGAAGTGCCACATCATCCTCAAGATTACGATAATTTACCGAATCCCGTTTAAGAATATTTCTCCACTTTATATTTCTTTCCTTTGTGTCTTTTCCCTTTATGTACATCATTAGGATAAAATACACCATGAAGAAAGCAGCCACAGATACTCCAAATATAAACACAACAAAGAGTAACTTGTTACTGTTCTCATTTGTTTCCAAATCAAATTCCTTCGAAGAAGAAATCCGAGAAGTTAGATAGTTCGTATTAGATGTGACGTCATATGACATGCTCCAGCCAGTCATGTTCTTTAAATACCCTGTTACTGTCATTAATTTTATCTGTGCTGTCCTCTAAGTGAAAAAAAACACAACAAAGTATGAATACTGTAAAATCACATATTTTCAAGGGGTCAAATTTTCGTAGTTTGAGGAAAATTTATTGGTTCATTGGGTCTTGATTTTGTGGATGTGTAAAACTGTGGTAATAGCTACTTTGTCTGATAGGTATAATTTTCATCGACCATACATTTTGCTAAGACGTGATACATACATAACACACATTTTCATCACACACAAGATGCTAGATATACATACATTACTATAAATTTACATATTTTCGAGGGGGCATGTTTTCGTGGTTTTGGGGAAAATATATAGGATGATGGGGTCTAGGATTTTTGGTTGAGGAATTGCTCAATAGTACCATTTGTGAAAAATTGTATTTCGATGTGAATATGAGTTCATGGGTCTCTTC